CTAATCATATACTAGAGCCTATCTGAAGGCATGTAATTCAGAGTACTCTCATAGAATTCTATAGTTGATTGAAGTGTTACTTAGCTTCCCAGTTGAATTTATGGGAGAGAGAATTTTAGAAGGACCTTAATTTGAACAGTCAACTTGCTGGAATTTAAATTAAACACAGGCCATCATCTCTTGATGGTGTTGGTGGTCTGTTGTGTGGGTATCTTTGTGGATTTCTGTGGGCCTCTCTAGCACTTTGCTTCTTCCTATTCTCATGTGGTCTTCATTTACCATGGTCTCCTATTCCTTGTTCTCCCTCTGTGTTGTTGATCCAGCTGGGATCTCCCGCTCCCCCAAGCTCTCTTTCCCTCAACCCTCGCCTTTCATTACCCCCACTCATGTCCAGGCTGTTCATGTAGATCTCATTCCATTTCTCTGTCATTGGGCGATCCCTGTGTCTTTCTTGGGGTCCTGTTTTCCAGGTAGCCTCCCTGGTGATGTGAGTAGCAGACAAGTCATCCTTGTTTCATGTCTAGTATCCTGCTATGAGTGAGTATATACCATGTTTGTCTTTCTGAGTCTGGGTTACCTCACTCAGGATGATTTTTTCTAGATCCATCCATTTGTCTGCAAACCTCATGATGCCATTGTTTTTCTCTGCTGAGTAGTATTCCATTGTGTATATGTACCACATTTTGTTTATCCATTCTTCAGTTGAAGGGCATCTGGGTTGTTTCCATGTTCTGGCTATTACAAACAATGCTGATATGAACATAGCTGAACAAGTGCTCTTATGGTGTGGTTGAGTATTTCTTGGGTATATGCCCAAGAGTGGTATAAAACCGACATGTGGACCAATGGAATCGAATTGAAGACCCTGACATTAATCCGCACACCTATGAACATATAATTTTTGACAAAGAAGCCAAAAGTGCACAATGGAAAAAAGAAAGCATCTTCAACAAATGGTGCTGGCAAAACTGGATATCAACATGTAGAAGGCTGCAAATAGATCCATATCTATCACCGTGCACAAAACTTAAGTCCAAGTGGATCAAGGACCTCAACATAAATCCAGCTACTCTGAACCTGCTAGAAGAGAAAATAGGAAGTAGTCTTGAACGCATTGGCATAGGAGACTACTTCCTAAATAGAACACCAGTAGCACAGACTCTGAGAGAAACAATCAATCAATGGGACCTCTTGAAACTGAGAAGCTTTTGTAGAGCAAAGGATACGGTCAACAAGGCAAAGCGACAACCTACAGAATGGGAAAAGATCTTCACCAACCCCACATCTGACAGAGGACTGATATCCAGAATATATAAGGAATTCAAGACATTAGACATCAAAATGCCCAACAGTCCAATTAAGAAATGGGCTATAGAACTAAACAGAGAATTCTCAACAGAGGAAACTCAAATGGCTGAAAGACATTTAAGGAATTGCTCAACATCCCTAATCATCAGGGAAATGCAAATCAAAACAACTCTGAGATACCACCTTACGCCTGTCAGAATGGCTAAGATCAAAAACACTGAAGACACCTTATGCTGGAGAGGATGTGGAGCTAGGGGAACTCTCCTCCACTGCTGGTGGGAATGCAAGCTTGTACAACCACTTTGGAAATCAATATGGCGCTTTCTTAGAAAATTGGGAATCAATCTCCCCCAAGGTGGTCTGTGTATGTGTGTGCACACGCTCATGCACTGTATCCTGTAACGCTTGGGCCTGAAATTATGACTGGGATGGCATGGGGATGAAGAAATTGCAGATATACATACAAAATGTTTAGGCAGGGTGGGATGTGCTCACTCTGATGGAGGGCATCTACCTCAGTGGAAACTCAGTCAATGTGTTTACTGTGCACGGCACAAGGATGAATGGCTAGTTCGTCTTGGTGGGAGGACTCTGGGGGAATCAGTCTAGAGGAACAAACCAGAAGGAGGAAATTGTTTTCTAGTTTTCTGCAAACAAGGGATTTAGCTAAAAACGAACCATGCATAGACACCCATACTTGAACCAGAGAAATTCTTTGCCATTTCTCTGATCCTCATCTGGGGAAGGAATTTCCTTAACCATGGGTCTGTGGTACCAGAATCCCTGAAATGATTGTGCACATGCCAACAATACACAGTCATTCAGGACTGCCTCTGCTCACCATAGTCTTAATTTGGATTATTTTGGTCTGTTTGTTTTTACTTTTAATGATTAGGCTTCATAGCTTGAGAATGGTAGAATTCTCACACATACCCTCCTAGTCCCATAGCTTCTCTCTTTTCCAGTTTTACATTCACATATGCAGCTAGTGCAATTGTTAAAGGGATGCAATTAGTTAGTAGTAGTAGTAGTAGTAGTAGTAGTAGTAGTAGTAGTATTGTTGTTAGTGGTGGTGGTGGTTTTGTCATTGTCCCTCAAGTTCATATTTTTCATTGTGAGTTTTCTAAAATAGTTACTATCCATTATAGTATAGTTTATAGTCGTAAAGAATAGTTTGTTGTCTTAAAATATTCATTTGCCTCAGCCCTCCATCCTTCCTCTTCCAGCACCAAAACTTGAGTAATCTTTGATCTTGTTAATCTGTCAACAGTTTTACAGTTTCATACGCAGCTAGCTGGAATCCTTCAATTGACAGGCCTTCCAGATATGCCTTAATGTCTATAATAAACATTAACTCCCTCCCATGTCCTTCAGCAACTTGATAGTTCATCATTTTTTACCTGGATAATTATTTCACCGTAAGGATATGCCACACTTGACTTTTTCATTAACCTGGGTAAAACTATATTTCAGATTCCTTTAGTCTGTAACCATTGTAAGTAAAGATGTTCCATATTGTCAAGTGTAATTCCTGAGAACATTTTCAATGCATCTAGGTGAGCATCCTGAGCAAAATTCCTGTATTACATGGTGTGAATGTGCAAAGTTTTATAAGGAAATGCTCAAACTGCACCAAAGTAGAAGTGCTCCTTCCTTCACATTTGTGTTCCTTCAGAAAAGGAATGAGAGACCTCCTGGGTCACACACCATTATTGTGCCCATTCTGGTAACTGCATCATATCATACAAGTGTATTAATAATATTGAAGATTTTCATCCATTCATTTTTAACAATCAATTTAGCAATTATTCATTCCTACAACAATATTTCATTTACAATAATATAATAAATAAGAATTTTTTCTATTAATCCACTATATGCTCTAGTGTGTGAATCAGACACTAAGGGTAGAAGATCATTTAAATAGCACTCCCACTTTGCTTTCTTCTGGGAGCTCAATGTTTTACAGGGAAGGTAGAAGTTTAAGCAGAACTGTGCCAAGTAGAAAAGCATGGTGCAGTGGAAGTCCTGAGGGTTCGTACCTAACACCCCTTTAATACAACTGGAGGACTTTGTAATGTGAGGAATTCTAGAATTCTATACCAGCTGGTGGAAAAAGAAGGAACTATGGGCTGTTCAGTCTGGTATCTGGTACAAACCTCAGGTCCAGAATGGCAATCTTGTTGGATATGTTTCCAGAGGTATTGACAGGCAGGCCACTATCAGGAGAGCTGAGTGATATGAAAGAGTATGGTTATTCAGCCTCGAAGTGTTTGCTTACCTAAGCCAATTTTTCACTAAGAGTCTTAATTTATCACATTGATAATATGTAAAACTTCATAATCTGTACAAAATACAAATAGTCTTCATAGCATTGTCACAGGCTTTAAAAACATTCTAACATGTTATGAGACACAACTTGTGTGTGTCTGTTATAAATTATTTAATGCATGATAGTTACATAAAATATGAATGAATCAACAATTAAGTAATGATCTCACACTAATAAATTATAATTATGAACATTTTAGTTTATGATATGCTATGTTTGCATGCATGTATAGATGAAAGCATTAAGAAAATTGATCACTCAACACTAGTTCATTTCATTAAGTGGAGGTTTCAACTTCATTTTAAATGGTTTCTGAGTAATCAATCTTCGAAATGCACAAGGAATGATTTATTTATCAATTATCCCTTGAAGGTTAGTTGAGGCACTTCCATTTTTTCATATTATAAATAAATCTCAAATGGAATTATGGTACAAAATTTGGGGAAAATCAATTCAATTATTTTCCTCAGGAAATTCATTTTGCATTTAAATTGTAAGATCAAAGTATATGTATCTATTTAGTAAGACTTTAATAAACGTTGCTAAATAATTAAGTAGGTTTATAAAATAACATCATACTGTGAGTTTGTATAACAATGTACACATGCATGTGTATATGCCATAGAATTCTTAGAAGGTAAGAGATGTTCAATATGTGTTTATTTTACCATATCTGTGGTGTGTTTTAATCTTTATCAATATAAGAAGTATGGGATGTCAGTGTTGCTTAATTTGTCACAAAAAACCCCATGGTTAGATTCTTGTCATTACCCGCCCATTCTCTTGAGAGAGAAAAAAAAAGTGAATTCATTTTATCACTGCCCACGTCTGAAATACCTTGGGGTCTTGTTGCTATTAGAATACAGGCTATCTGACTGTCCTTGATAAGGTTGCTTTACCACCTTATGTTGAGATTGGAGAATACCGGAGTCCTACGTAGATTCTCACTCTTCACTTTGTTTTGTGGGTGTTTCTCTTCCTTCTGCTACTCTGCCTGCAATAATATTTTTGAGATAATGATCTGACAGACAGTACTGCTCCTGAGTAAGACCCCAGTCTCCTTGTCAGTACCCTCGAGAGGACTTCTTTGGGATGCTAATGGAGTGCCAGCATCACCCACAGACACCTCAGAAAACAACTCCGTTTTGTTGTACTAATAACACTGTCTGAAATGACTTCTTTTTTTTTTCCCATGGCTCTTTTCAGTTTATTGCATGAAGGAGTTACACTAGTCCAAGTTAAAAGCGGACCCCAAATGACTACATTATACAAGCTGTGAGGTTTTTAAACTCGTGACAAGGGACAGAAGGGAAATTCTACTCATTGCAAGGAAATCCTCACTTCAGAGAGTCACAAGCACTTAAAAAAACCCATGGACCTTCAGCTGGTCGTCCTTAGCCAGTCCAGTCTCTATCAGGAATTGGCATATGTTCTTGCGCTGGTCACCCTGTAGCTGAATTACTTCTCCATATTCTGGATGCTCAATTACAGTACCATTGCAGGTAAATTTCTTCTTAAACGCCTTCACTAGTTTCTTTTTATCGTAATCATCAGTGATCCCTTGGACAGTAGTAAGGGTCTTCCTGCCGTTTCTCTGTTGAATTCTTATATGGATATGATCCTCAGTGGCAGCAGGAAGCAGGTCATCACCCTTACTTGCATCAGCAAAGAGGTGGAGGTTCTGGATAGCAGACATACAATATGATTTCTTTTCCTCCGTGGAAACGGCCTGCCTGCGGAAGGCGGCTGCAGGAGAAGGCGGACGGTGGGGGGACGGAGCGTCTGGAAGCGAGGGGGCTCGAGGGAGAGGCAGCTGAGTCCTCGGCGGCGGCTCAGTGACTGGGCCTGAAATGACTTCTTGTTAGGACTTTGCTCATGTCCTCTAGTCTACTTTAAGCCAATTGCTTTGATTTTTTCTAATATGCCATAAAAAATGGTAAATACATAATATATGACTGAATTATCATTTTAGTATATATTATAATAATTAATTTTAGATCATATATTCCTTGTATAATTAAAACTATAGATTCTCAATCTTTCTATATTAAATTGGATATTCATAATCTTTATTTCAACTGATTGTATCTTCCCCTTCTTAAGAATTCTTTGCTTGGGAAAAAAAACAACAGGATAGCCAAAAGAATCCTGTCCAATAAAACAACCTCTGGAAGCATGACAATCCCTGACTTCAAGCTCTACTATAGAGATACAGTAATAAAAACAGCTTGGTACTGGCATAAAAACCGACATGTGGACCAATGGAACTGAACTGAAGACTCTGACATAAATCCGCACACCTATGAACATATGATTTTTGACAAAGAAGCCAAAACTATACAATGGAAAAAAAGAAAGCATCTTCAACAAATGGTGCTGGCATAACTGGATGTCAACATGTAGAAGACTGCAAATAGATCCATATCTGTCATCATGCACAAAACTTAAGTCCAGGTGGATCAAAGACCTCAACATAAATCCAATTACTCTGAACCTGATAGAAGAGAAAGTAGGACGTAGTTTTGAATGCATCGGCACCAGAGATCACTTCTTAAATATAACACCAGTAGCACAGACACTGAGAGAAACAATTAATAAATGGGACCTCTTGAAACTGAGAAGCTTTTGTAGGGCAAAGGACATGGTCAACAAGACAAAACGATAGCCTACAGAATGAGAAAAGATCTTCACCAACCCCACATCTGACAGAGGGCTGATATCCAGAATATATAAAGAACTCAAGAAATTAGACATCAAAAATGACCAACAGTCCAATTAAGAAATGGGCTATAGAGCTAAACAGAGAATTCTCAACAGAGGAAGCTCAAATGCCTGAAAGACAATTAAGGAATTGTTCAACATCCTTAATCATCAGGGAAATGCAAATCAAAATGACTCTGAAATACCACACCTGTCCGAATGGCTAAGATCAAAAACACCGAAGAGAGCTTATGTTGGAGAGGATGTCGAGCAAGGGGAACACTCCACTGTTGGTGGGAATGCAAACTTGGACCACCACTTTGGAAATCAATATGGTACTTTCTTAGAAAATTGGGAATTAACCTCCCTCAAGACCCAGTTATGCCACTCTTGGGCATATACCCAAGGAATGCTCAATCATACCACAAGGACACATGCTCAACTATGTTCATAGCAGCATTGTTTGTAATAGTCAGAACCTGGAAACAACCTAGATGCCCTTCAACAGAAGAATGGATAAAGAAAATGTGTTACATAAACACAATGGAGTACTACTCATCAGAGAAAAACAATGACATCATGAGGTTTGCAAGCAAAAGGATGGAACTAGAAAAAATAATCCTGAGTGAGGTAACCCAGACTCAGAAAGACAAACATGGTATGTACTCACTCATAGATGAATACTAGATGTAAAGCAAAGTATAACAAGACTGTAACTCACAACTCCAGGGAGGCTACCTAGTAAAGAGGACCCCAAGAAAGACACAGGGATCTCCCAATGACAGAGAAATAGATGAGATCTACATGAGCAAACTGGGGGTGGGTGGGTAATGGGGAGCAAGGATTGGGGGAAAGAGAGCTTAGGGGTCCCAGATGGATCAGGAGCAGAGTGGAAGAAAGGGGAGGGAGATACCATGATGAATGAAGACCCCAGGGGAATAGGAAGAAGCAGAGTGCTAGAGAGATCCCCAGAAATCCACAAAGATAACTCCACTGTAGATTACTGACAATGGTCAAGAGAGTGCCTGAGCTGACCTGCTCTGGTGATCAAATGGCCAAACACCCTGACTGTCATAATAGAACTCTCATCCAGTGTCTGATGGAAGCAGATGCAGTGATCCACGGCTGAGCCCCAGGTGGAGCTCTGGGAGTCCAATTGGCAAGAGAGAGGAGGGATTGTATGAGCAGGAGATATTGAGACCATGATTGAAAAAAGCACAGGGACAAATATCCAAACTAGTGGAAACGCATGAACTGTGAACCAATGGCTGATTAGCCCCCATGGAACTGGACCAGGCCCTCTGGATATGTAAGACAGTTGATTAGCCTGAACTCTTTGGGCAGCCCCCAGGCAGTGGAACCAGGACCTGTCCTTGGTGCATGGGCTGGCTTTTTGGAGCCTGGGGCCTATGCTGGGATACTTTGCTCAGCCTTGGTGTAGGGAGGAGGGGACTGGGGCTGCCTAGGCTGAGTCTACCAGGCTGGACTGACTCCCCAGGGGAGACCTTGCCTTGGAGGAGGTGGGAATGGGTGGTGGATTGGGGAGGAGCACTGGGGTTTGGGAAGAGGGAGGATGGGGGGAATCCTTGGCTGATATGTGAAATTAAGTTAATTATAAAATATATATATATATATATATAAAGAATTCTTTGCCACTGACACAACAATAATGCTTTCCATGGCATTTCTCTGAAATATTTACTAACTAGTCACTTGTTTTATACTTTTTAAAATTGATATCTGTGTGTAATTATTCTTGAAGTCTACTTGTCAAAATGTGTAAGTCTCATTTTGTGTCTGTGGAGGAGTAATGATGGTAAAGTCCTATTTGTAGGCTTTGCCTAAAAATTAATGTGTACAACACAATGTGCCTATTGTTTCTCCCAGAGTAATTATAATGATACCTTTCATAAGTGTACTGGATAATTGGAAATCATATTGTTATAGAAATGGAGAGACTAGCCGGGCGGTGGTGGCGCATGCCTTTAATACCAGCAGTCGGGAGGCAGAGCCAGGTGGATCTCTGTGAGTTCGAGGCCAGCCTGAGCTACCAAGTGAGTCCCAGGAAAGGCGCAAAGCTACACAGAGGAACCCTGTCTCGAAAAACCAAAAAAAAAAAAAAAAATGGAGAGACTAACAAATCTTATTTTTCTCCAAACAACCCCTTTGTTCCAATATGCTGCTTCTGATCTATTCTTTACCAGTTATTGGAATTATTTGTATTAACATTCTAAATTCAAAAACATAATTCACTCTCAACATTTTCATTGCTGCTAAATAATTTATCTCATTTAGATCTGTACTGTCATCACTGAGGTTTTGTTAACTGTTGAAGTTTAAACAATAGCAAAACATGACACCCTGCAAGTTTCCTTTGTATCTGTGCAATGTTGACTTTTCCAAGTAAGCTTGGGGATATTTTCCTCAAAATTGTCTCACCCCCCCATTGATATTAAAAATCACATTTTTCAAGTACTATCAGTTTGTGTAGAATTGAAAAGTTTTTGCCTTAATTGTGCTGACTCAAATTCACAGTCTATATCTGTATCCATGTCATGATGTAACTTGGATATTTCTACTCAATTTCTCTTTAAATTTAAATTTAAATTATATAGTTCAAGTTTTATTATTTTATTTATAGCTATACAAATTTTAATTCCTGCTGCATATGAAAACTAATTGTATGGAACTGCTAACGTTTCATAAAGGAAACATTAATTTTGCCTCAAAAGCTAATAATCAAAATATTTTTACTCATTAAAACAAATTGTGTTTTTTAAAAGATGAATTGCATTCTGCTAAGATTTATACTATTTCTAAATGATAACGATAATACTTTTTAATCTGCAATGTTTGCCACATTACTTTCTTTATAATTTTCCTGAAACTTTTAGGAAAGCATCTATAAAAAGAGGTAATAGCTGACAGTCCTTGTATTTGTTAACTGAGCCTTATATTACTTCATTTATCTGAACCATTTCCTCTCAGAAGGAGGGAGGAACACTGTGTTATTGAATCACATTCTACTTACACATTCATGCATGCAATGGGTAAGATGTGAGCATTTTTTTGAGGACTGAGAAGCTCTTTCCCCTTCAGGTGTCTACATGTGTCACCTTCCGCCTTTAACTGTACTCCACTTCTGCCACCTCACAGCATGTGTCACAGTCTGTTTTCTTTATGTTGTTTATTTTCACATTCACTAGTTCTCCAGCTCAAGTTGCCTCATTTTTAATGTAGAATATGGAACATACACATTTGAAATTTGCATAAATGTTTAATTTATTTTTAACTGGTACATAAAAATCTAAAATTGAACTGTGGTGGTATTGTGTTCCCCAAAATATTGTGTACCCTAATAAACTTATCTGGGGACAGAGAACAGAACAGCCACTATATATAGAGGCCAGAAGATGGTGGCACACACACCTTTAATCCTATCCCTTGGGAGGCAGAGATCCATCCGGATCTCTGTAAGATCAAGGCCACACTGGAAACAGCCAGGAATGGTGACTCATGCCTTTAATCCTAGGAAGTGATGCCAGAAAGGCACATAAGGCGTGACGACCAGGAACTAGCGTGGTTAAGGTTTTAGGCTTTTAGCAGCAGTTCAGCTGAAATCCATTTGGATGAGGACTCAGAGCTTTCCAGTCTGAGGAAACAGGATCAGCTGAGGAATTGGCAAGGTGAGGAAGCTGTGGCTTGTTCTGCTTCTCTGATCTTCCAGCATTCACCCCAATACCTGGCTCCAGGTTTGTTTTTATTAATAAGAATTGTTAAGATTCCTGCTACATTGACCCAGAATAATCATGATCCAAAACATGATCACATTGAGTAATATTTGAAATAGTGAAAATTATCTCTCAGGTGTTTATCATTTCTGTATGGTGAAAACTTTCAAAATTTCCCTGTTCTGTATTTTATTAACATGTAGATTGTAAATGTTATCTATAGCTACTCCACTGTACAATAAAAAAAGCAAAACTTCTTATTCAC